AGTATATCAAAAGTACCAATGCCAAGCACCTGTGGCATCGGCACCTCACCTCTCCTCAAGACATCAATATATTGTTAACGCGGCAACTTCATTTAAGATGATTCTGTGTTGCAACTTACACCCATTCATAAGGAGACTCTGGTGGACGTACCCGTCAGGGTGAATTAGCCATACATTAAACATCCCATTAGAGATTGCATTTTTCAAAAAAAAACTATAAATTTAATTTCTCACCTCTAACAACAAAACTTTTTTATGCACTAGCACTTGGAGGAATGTCCATGACTTTTCCCACTACAACTGTTTTCCCCGTAGACACAGTAATCCAAATTACACAATGCATGCCCAGGGTAATTCATGAATAGTGAAAATGCAGTCACTTACCTTCAGTTCGAACAGTAAACCTTCCAAGTTGTGCAAAATCTGAGAATCTCTCAACACAAATCAAGTTGTTCACCTGAGACAATGTTGCCAAAAAGATATAATTCATGAACCAAATTTCAAACACAAAAATGTCTCAAATATAATTGGGCTGGTCTCTACTTCAAAGCAAAACTTCTTTCCCTGTTAAAAATAAACCGCCAGTGACAACCATTTGACAAAATGTAATATTGGTTGGAGATCCCGACCACTTCAGACCTTGGAAAGCTTGGAAGGAGCATAAATAACAGAGCAATGCTACAGATTCCATATACATAGAAATTCTAGCAGTCCCACAATTATCAAGCACGAGGATGATACCATGTTGAATTAAAAAACATTCACAATTCTAGATAATTCCAAATGTTGGAGAATAGACACTTTGGAATTTCAAAAAGAGTGAAAAGGCAAGAAGTAAACCTGAATACGGCAAACAACAACAGCACCATTCTTAACAAATAGAACTTTCTTTTTCATGGGTTTCTTTGTCTTGGGATCAATTTCTTGTAGCAGTTCAACAATCTCACATTACTCAACAACAGAATGAATGTGCAAGACAGCTTTATACCCAGCTGTAAATATTGCCTAAAATAGCAGAGACAGTCCAATACCATTAGATGCAAAGTTAATCAAATGAACTAAAAGATTAAAGATGAGAGAGGACTTTATAAAGTGGATTCATTCATACATTGTCAAGCAACTCAAGGATCTGCAGCTGGGCCGTAAATTCAGTGACTGTTGGTATTGGTTTTGCTGGGTAAAAAAGGAGAAAAAAAAAAAAAAAAAGGGATATAATTCAGCAAAACTTAAACAAAATCACAAATAACACTTCAGAATCAAAAATAGAAAATAAGTATAGAAGGGGATGGTGAGGCCAAGACGTCTCAGCATTGCTATCAAAAACTACAAAAGAACAGAAATATTTCTGCAAACAAATTTGTAAGTTATCCTACCATTTACTTTTAACTCCACTTTCTATAATCTAATTTCCTCTAGCCTTCAGTTTTTACAATCTTTAAGAGCACTTACCAACACTACACAAGCCAAAACCAGATAATATGTCCTCTTCTTCAATTCCAGATAACTTAACCAGCAGATTTTCACCAGGTCCAGCACGTGTAGCCTTATCTTCATCACAGTAAATGGCAAGAACTATCACTTGACCCTGCCATCCATGCATCTTGGACTTCAAAATCAAAGTTTAACAATAAATAAACAAATAAAGAAATTAGGGGAAAGACTAAGCACCTTGCTTGGCATGAGCAATAAGGAATCACCCTCATGCACGGTACCAGATTCAACCTTTCCCATCACGACAGTTTCCATGTCTTTAAATTTGTCAATTATGGGCATCCTACATATTTAGAAAACATATAGTTAATAGATGTGAAATGAAACATTGATACAGCCTTAATAGTTCAGGGGTTCTAGCCAGGGGCAGACTTAATATAATTTTAGCAATTTAGGGTTCTATTTTATTATACTTAAGTTTTTCTATGTTCAGGGGCAGACTTAATATAATTTCAGTTCCATGATTTAGGTTTTCTTTTTAAAATATAATTTGGGCACATTTTGCTCATTCGAGGATCTTTAGGAATTAGACTTTTTAGGTCTTATTTTCTAAAAATCCTAGGCAGTTATTTACTTATCTTATGTTCCGAATCAAAGTCATAGGGACTCAAGAAGTAGTCGGAGTCCTTATAAGTAACTACGTAGGCTTTTCTATAACAAAGGGAGAAAGGGTATAGTTATACAATTATGCTTTCTTCCTAGAGTTGTATGAATTCCTACAGTAATAAATCATACGTGAAAGGACCTTTTGGATCTCTAGGAGGAATTTCAACTGCATCAAGGACTTCAAAGAGACAGGGACCATTCCACCAGGGGCATATGCTCTTGTCCAGTCTCCTTTTCATATTGGAACCAAGAAGACCAGATATTGGTAGAAACTGGACATCTACAGGTTCAGAATAAGATCAAAAACACAATCAATATACAAAATTAATTGCTTTCCTTTTACTGAAAAAATACAAATAACTCACAATTTTAATTCAATCAATAACTATTTTCCTATATATATATATAAAGATTCAAGAAGCAATATATAAATTACCCTTTTTCACATTATAGCCTGAAGACCTCAGAAATGGTACCATCTTAGATTCAATTATCATATCTGAGGGAGTGCCATGAAGAATGAACCATCAGAACAGGAACACAAATGAAACAGCATATATAAGCATAAACTTAGCTAAATTCAGGAACAGCACCTTTCTTTTGACCAGTTAACGGTGAGATCGTCCATTTTGTTCACAACCACAAACAGCTTAGATACGCCCAAAGTTTTCGCAAGCTGAACATGTTCACGGGTTTGCCCACCCAATCCTTTTACAAGAAGAAGGGTGTTTCTCTCAAATCTCACCCCTTTACACTTAAGCCCCAAGAATCCTCTCTACAAATCACTCTTGAAGGATTAATCACACCCCCAAGATCACTCACAACTAAAACAAGAAGAGGATTACAAGTAAAGATCTCTCAAAGATCAAAAACTCAAGTTAAAGCTCATGTAGGTAGGTAAAGATATTCAATGCAATGCTCTCTAAACTTCCTTCAGATCTTCTACCAACCATATTTATAGCCCCTTGCTCAAAAATAGCTGTTTCTAGCCGTTGGAGGTCATTAAATGCTCTGCAGGACACAAAGCTCAAGTTGCAGGATTGTCAAGAGAGCCGGCTCACCATTTCTGCAGCCGGCTTTGCGTGATTCTGCACATTCTGTTTTCTTCCACAGCCGGCTACAAAAAACCTAGAGCCAGCTTTGGTATTTCGCCTTTAAAAAATATTAATTATTCTTCAAATAAATCGACCGTTGTGCATTAAATGCGCCCTTACAGTCGGCTGCAAAGTTAGAGCCGACTCTACGTCTTTTCTCCGTGCGCGCCAAACAACGAACCTTTAAATCTTTACCCGTAGAGCCGGCTGCAGCTTTTAGAGCTGGCTCTCTGCACTTCCATTTCACCAAAGCCGGCTGCAGCTTTTAAGAGCCAGCTCTCTGCACATTTTCAATCCTTTTGGTCTATTTTTAGTGCAGTCCAAGTTTACTTGCAACCTTTTAGCAATTTAACTACACACTTAAATAACCCAATTAGTCACTCAAATGTGTTTTGTAATCATCAAAATCATAGGTACAACATTTAAGACTGGCACCAAAGCTTAAGGGGTAGTTTTTGTCAAAATCTACTCTGCAACACCAAAATGGGAGAAATCTCAATATTTCCCCAGTCATCATATTGTTCAAATTGGAATTTAGTCCAAGAAGATCAAAGTAGAAGCAAATGAAGATCAAATTTTTCAAGACTTTGAAGAGTCTCTTTGTGGGATCGATTTCATCCAAGAGAGATGAGCTCTAAGATTTAAAGTTTTACGCCAGACCTTTGATAGAATGATAGAGATGAAGAAGACCTAGACATATGGCTTCTCTAATGAAATCTTAGTAGTATCCATCGGTGCAAGATTAATGACAAGCATCAGTCCGTTCAAAATGAAGTAGAAAAGAAAGGAAATCTTTGAAAAGTTGGCCCCAGCCAGTAAAGCGGTATATAATAGACTATGCAAGCTATTAAAGCATGACAATCATTGCAATTTCTACTACAAAAAAGACTCTGCAAAAGGAAAAGCTAAAGCCCTATGTGATGAAGGGACCATTCCCTCAGACAATGAAGAGGATCTAATCATCCTCTGAAGAATCCAATGCTAAAAGTCGTAAGCTCTTACATCGCTAAATAGAAAGAAGAGTGCGGACAAGATTCCATGTAATCTGCTTTAGCAAAAGCAAGAAGTAAGTCTGGATCACCAGACAATAATGTAAACTTTAAACATCAACAATGACGAAAGAAAAGATTCTAAGGAGCTATATAAAAAGCCTTTTATAAGCTGTAACAGGTATCAGGCATTTGAACATCCAAATACTTTACCTAAAAAACCTTCTACCATGCATTTGTAAATACCTTTCAAGAGGAAAAGGAACTTTTCCTTTCTCTTCTCATAAATAAAATCATGTTTTAGAATAATTCTCGTGCTTTTATCCTTCCTAATTTCCATCATAGAAAATAATGAGAAAAACCACTAAAGATACTTAAACAATAGTGAGGTCACTAGTCCTGTTCGAATACTTGTGTAGCCAGAGTTTGGCATTGAGGGTTGAATGAAGGAAGCATCAGCTTGACCAAAGGTTAGACTAAGAGATTTTCAGGTATAATTCTAACTCATTCTTTCTATCATGTGAAAGTTAGGTGGGCATAGAAACATTCCTATTATTCTTTAACATTATTATTTTTGAGATTAGATATAATAGGGAAATGGTACCTAACCTCTTATATTTCAAATAGAAAAACTCATCTTAAAGACTTATTTATAATACTCTACGATACTTGACTTCATTCAACAAATAATTGTAGATAAAGTGGTTTATGCACAGCAATGCGAATATTATAGAAATAAAATAGTGATTATTTTAGAAAAAATAAGTAATAGTGAAGATCTAGATGATTACTATCTCTTCAAGAAACTCAAAAAGTTAAAGCGAACATCAACATATTTAAATGAATATTTAAAAAGACTAAAAAGGGCTAAGCAAAGATTATCTCTACTAGTCGCTTAATAGACCTGATTCCATTGAACTTAGCATACCAGCTACACTAGTTTGTAGTCTGAGTTAGGTTCTAAAAACCCCAGAAAAATTTTAGTATCATAGCCAAAGAATAATGTTTTTAAGAATGGAATTAAGAAAGTCAGTAAGACTTTACGATCAACAACTGATATTATAACAAAAATTATAGCACTAGAAGGAACGATACCCTACAGAACTGATGAGTTACTATGGGATAGATATGTCTATAAAGTATGTAGAGCGTCAACTCTAGAAGAATTAAAAAATTTAGCAAGATAAGAATAAAAGTTGTTTTCAAGGCAAATATAAATTTAAGAACTAAAAGATCAAAACAAAAATAGTTAGAGAGTTAACTAATTCTATTGAAAAATAAGGATATTTCTGTTAAAGATAACGGACTAGATGAAATTGAAATGAATATGAAATATAGTAGATAAAATTGGAAGAATAGAAAGCTAATAGATGAAACTAAAAAAGATAAAAAAGTTAATAGATGATTTGTTAAATTAAGTCGATTAGAGGAGAAAAAGTTGCAATTTTTGTCCTTTTTTAATTTAATTTAAAAATAGTACCATTTTAAAATTTTAAATTAGATGTAAATTTTTATTTTTGTTTATTTA